AAAATATCTATTAATTTATTTATTAAATAAATAAAAATGATAAATATACTCAACTAAAAACCAATAGCCTCGACTAAAAACCAATAGCCTCTCCAATCCCACCTTCTGCTCTTCAGCTATCCATGGTGCCCTCAGTTAATGAGGTTATTCCTCTGTCCCTTCAGAAGTGGACATCAACTTACACCACCCTGTGCTCCCCTTTACCCCTCTCCATACATGTCCTGAACACAACATTAGACTCTGGGGCTGTTTCTTCATTAATTTTCACTCCCCCCTGTTTCATGTATTTTCCTGGTTCCTAGAGCTTTCAACTTAAAAAAAATCCCTTCCTGACAATTTTTTTTTGTGGGAAATCCCCATGGTCTCTTTGAGTTATTAATGGTCCCACACACAGCCTCACTTCTCTTTTCCTACCTGCAGTCCTCACAGTGGCCCATTATGCTAAATCACACTAATCCAAAAATGGGAGTTGAGGGAGACACTCTGAAACAGACTAGAAAAACTCTCCTGTGGTATGGTATATAAAAGGACAGCTTTTTAAAGTATTTTGTGTCTCTGCTAAATAATTTTTCTGAAGCTCCACATTTAAATTCCCTCTCTAAGTGCTAGAGTCTGCCCTGTGAGGAGCTCACTAAAACTGAGGTAATGAAGGATATAATCAGTTTTCTGAGGGTGCTGTGACCTAGAGACAGGTCTGATTACATCATTTGTTTTGGGTTGAGTCTCAGGAGCTTTATAAAAAGCAGTCCTAAAAGGAAAGAGAGAGTCAAGAGGAGAGACTGGCAATAACTCATTTGCAGAAGCTCTGTATTGTTGCATTCTGCTATTTGCCACATATTTACAAGGGAGCTTCTTCAGAGGGCAGAGAAACCTGTGAACTGCTGGAATATTATAAGTCTTTCCTTGAGATGTCAGCCAAGAGCTTCAGTATAGTCACAGTCACTACCGTGCTTATTTTCTTCCTACAGCTACAACTCTCTGTGCAAGCGCCGCTGAATGGTAAAGTCTTTCAGCTTTCTATTTTATCGTCACTTGTAACTTCAGGGCAGCTAATGTATGTAGGAAACTGGCATCTTTTAATTACTACTATTTGCACTACAGACTTCTTGCATGCTCAGTGTGCCTTTCTTTGTGATCTTTTTGTTTCTCATAGAATGAAGCAAAAACTTGCCCTTCTCAGAGTTAGTGGAAGCATCACACCTTTCCCTCTGCCCTGTTTATTTTTAAACCAGGCAAAAATAATGTAATCCCTGTGAAGCACCCCATATCCTAGATCTCATTCTCTTATATTTAAACAGGACCACTTCAGGAGGTCAGTGCTCCTCACTCTCTTTTTAGTAGTTCATGTTCATCTATTCAAGCTGATTATATAATCAATTTTCATCCATCCAAACTAATTATAATTCACCTAGGATATGAGCGAGAATCACTGTAAAGAGTTGTGTGACAGGACTTACTCATCACGTATATTCATGGGACAAAAATCCTGAAAGCTCAAGTGTAATCCAGAGCCATCTGTTTCCCACAGAGCTCTGCCAAGACAAGTATTTTACCAGGCTTTTTCACATGAGCTACATATAAGGGGTGGAATTAAAACTTTTAAGGTCACCTTATTTTGGTCATATATCCTCTGAAAAATGGCTATATTCTCTAGCAGAATCTCCTACCAGAAGGGCAGAGGTTCCTAGAGCTTGGTGCTTTCCAGGTGTTTCCTCTGACAACACAGAATGTTTGGAAGTGAAAGGATGTGTCAAAAAGATTTGTCTTATAAGTGCTGAAGTGAATGCTAGAGAGTTCCTATCTTAGAAATAGACAGTCAGTCCCAAGAAATGGCAAGAGCTACAGCATCTGCCTGTCTCTGACATTTTCTCAAATCAGAGACACAACTGGCATAGATTGTTGCAACTAAAACCATTCCCACTTTCTCAGCTACCAAGTGATATTGGAAACATGTTTGTTCCTTGGATATGGATCAGTGAAAACACAGACACACTGGCTCTGGGAACCTCCTTTGCCATACATGTGCATGTAACTGTGTTACTCAACAGCTCTCCCCCTAACATGAACAAAGAGGCTCATAACCAAAGAGTGCTCACAGGTATGGAGCTGTTGATAGCTCCCTTTGAGATGTGGATCAGACACTCTATTGACTCTCCTCCAATTTGGGGAGATTTTGTGACAGTCTGACTCATCCTCATTTCATTATCAAGCAGAATAAGAGGAAGACCAACCTTGCTTACAGTCTGAGGATAGCAGCAAACCACTTTTGCAGCTCTCCATGTTCATTCAGACAAAATTAAGAAGATTCTGCCATCTATTAATTTCCTGATCCAAGTCAGATCATAATAGTAGTGAATTGCAGATCATCAAAATGCTCACAGGCTAAGAAAATTTCACTTGGCAAAAGACTTTAAGCTTTCATTTATTTTTGTTTCTATTGGCATAAATGTTGAAAATCTTTGACTGTTTTAAGGTTGTTCTAGATTATAAAAATCAGTTTTGACACCATACACATTTTAATGGGCAGTACGAACATGAGCTGAGAGCAGCTATTGTAGTTAAGTCAATACCTCATCAAAACCTGCGCAGGTGAGGATGTGGTGATTTCTAAAACTTGTTGATGGTCAGTTGCTATCTTCATGCAAGTTTTACCTACAGAATGTACTGACCAGAGGACACAAGCATTCCCAAAAGATCTCAGTAAGATATTATCCCCTGCAGAGAGAAGGGGAGAGGAGAATGAGGTTTCTCACTGTGAATTCTAGGTCAGGCCATGAATTCTCTTATGCGATAAAGCTGGGAACTTCAGCCAGGATGATTACATAGACCTCGTTTTGAAAATTCCAGTGTAAAAGAACAAGGCACACCGGTCCTAACAAACTGTAAGCAGAGAGCTTAGCGTTCCCAGCACATATATACAAAAGAGTCAAGTGCAGCTGCTTGCACATCCCTTCAAACTAATTCCAAACATTTGACATGACATGCTTTGGAAAAGAGCTAGATCTGCGACCACACTTCGGAGTACAGGAAATGCAGCTAAGAACCATGTACTGAGCAGACCTGCACGTATAAGAATAAATATCTGCCTACATGCATGCACACACCCACAGGCACACTGAGTGTTTGCAAGACTTGTAATTCAGGACTATTTTCTATGAAGAAATAAAATTAAATTTGCAGAGAGTAAAGATCTGCATTAGCCTGGTGAACAAAACTGCTCAGGTCTGTCAGGACAAGAACCTGTAATTACACAGCAAGCTGAATGACTGTAAGTAGGTTTCAGGACAAAAAAAAAAAAAAAATTAGAAGGAGCATTTCATAAGACAAGACATTTCCAAAGACATGCAGAGACACTGGCCCAAGTTCAGTTCCTTAAGCAGCAGATGAATATTGATCATTTTAACTCTCACTCAAGCCCCCCAGGATTCTTTGAGTTACAGGGGTTTGTGCATCTATTTTTCAAAGTCCATCTATTCCCATCTGATTCAGCTGGCAGATCCCAGAGCTGCTGTGCAGAAATGACTGTCCATCATTTCTCAGTGTAGCAACTGGCAATCTCCTGATGGTTTTTAAACTTCTCTGCTAGGCATGAGGAGGTTCACTATAGCTACAGTCCATTTATCTTCCTCCATTTCCTAACCAGAAAAAAATCAGGGGTGTACCTACATACAGAGTCGGTAGCTATTCCACACACACACAAAAAAAAAATGACTGACAAAATTTTTGCTCCAGGATTTAAGTGACCACAAGAAATTCACCCCTATGGGCAAGGATAACAGGGATAATTATAATTTGAGTGAAAAGGGTTCACAATCTTTGAAAGTGTCTATGTTTTGCTCAACATGGGAGGTTAAAAAGACAGACAAAAGTATTGCAAAATTCAGTATATGGGTTTAAGCGACTATTTGTTTCTTCACAGAATAAAATAAATTTCAAATATGCACAGTAATTTTTCTTTTGTCTTTAAACAGGGTCAAAATGGTCCTATATTGGTAAGTACAAAGTTGTACATACTAAGCTGTGGCGCTTTTTTGGCATTTTAAGGGCAATATACTAAATGTATTCTGATGAGAACCTATTGGGTTCAGTATCTTTGCCCAAGTTTGGATCAGGCCCATGGTCTTGAAATCTGTTATTCATCCATCAGGTTTCATATCTGGGTGATACTCACTTATTTGGTTCTGAATTGCCTTGCAGAATGACAGAAACTTCAGCAGTCTGAGACAGGCCCTACAGCTGCAGAGGTTTCCCAAAGCCCTCTGTTTCACTACTAGTCACAGACTAGCAGCACATTTCAGCCTAGTTCTACAAAGTGCATAACTCTTCCTGCCCACATGGGTCTTCGTTTTTAAGTAGAGTCAGAGTTCAGCAAGTCATCTATATTGTGCTGTGGAAGACTCAGCTCCCTGAAGAGCTCAGGGTATTTAGGAAAGCAGTGTCATTTTGTACACTAGTCAGCTATTAACCCAGAAGGATCTAATGGCTGCTCAGGAAGAAGAAATTATATACAGATTTTCTTTTAATTGATCAAATTCTCTGGCAAGAATTTCCTCCTTCAGAGTAGTTTTCTATATGCCATGTGCCCGCAGAGGAGCAGGCAGTACTGAGAACCTCAGCAAAAATTGCTTGTTCTTAAGCTTTTGGTGCTGCTCTAAGACAACACAAAGAACCTCCGAGGTTGAACTTGCTGCTAATAACTACTTCTTTTGGCTGTGCTCCAGTGGTTTACCTGACTCACTTCACATAAGCAAAAGGAAAACTGTCAGCTGCATTTCTGTAGGTATTAATCTAACTGCCAGTATACTTCACATTCTCATTAGCAAAAAAAAAAAGCTTGACACAGTTTGAATAACTAAAGCATGGGTTTTCCACCTTGACAGCAGACATCAGATGAACCCAACCCTTCTGGGTGGTAAAGAAATCAAGACTTCTTTCACTAACATCAAAGCAGAAGATTTGCCCTCCATCTCAGGGTAATGCTTGTTTAAATTAGTTACTTTTCCCTTTCTGGGAATTTGGGTACCAATGTTTATTTCAGAGTATGTTATCCTCTGTGGCCAACTTCATAAATTCCTGTTAAGCACTTCCATACTGCAGTCTGATTTCTAAGATGTACTGGAGGATACAAGGAATGTTCACAAAACAGATTCATATTTTTTCCTCCAACAACTGATTTTCAAATATATTTAGAAAAACATACAATAGCAGCTTCAAAAATTAAAGTGGCAGCTGATCTTGCACAGAATAGTTCTTTTCATACACCTGGAAAAAGGCAGAGGTAGAATGTTGGTCTGCACAGAGGAAAAACTCATTAGAGAGACTGTAGTCAGCCAGAAAAGAGGCCCTCCATACTCCACCACTGATCCCGGTTCCTTTCAGCAGCCTACACCTTCCACCATTTATCTCTATCCCCGCAACACTTTGCAACACCTCCCACTAAAATTAAGTCAACAGGAAGGGAAAAGAAGTCAAGCCATTACAATCACAGTGCAGGCTGATGTCAAAATGAGGGTCAAGGTACAAGATTAAGGGTGGAGGAGAAATCCGTGCGCTGATTGTCAATAAGAGTTCTATTTGTTCAGTAGGACAATACGTGAGACTGAATGTTGATACAGCATTAGCAGCTCAGGACATGGTGGTAAAACAAGCTGATACTGCATGTGATAAGGCCTTAGCATTTCAGCAAAAGCTTTCTAAAGAAATGAGCATTTGGCTTGGCTATAATGGGAACTACTGCATTAAATACAATAAATGTAAAGGCTAAAGCTCTCCTCCATTTGCCTCATCCTCAGCTAAACTGCAGCACCGTTATTTGTTCTTCCTGATTTCACTACTTGTCTAAATAGTCCTAGAAAAAGTGCCTGGAAGAAACAGCACAGACCAGTGAGCTGGGGCATGAGCTCTCAGCCCCCTGACACAGGTCTGCTTTATGTGCACTGCTGTAAAATGCACAAAGTAGCTGAAGTGTATCATGAGGAGAGTGGTTTCATACTTAAAGAACCTAAAGAATTGTTCCAATGTCTCGTAGCTCAGGACAGCACATGCATGCAGCTTTGGGCAATGTTGCTGTGTAGCTGGAAGGTACAGGCCTGAAGTCCTCTGTCCTAGAAGACAACTGGTAGAATTGGAGAGCTGCACTCCAATTCTTTGGATTCTGGCTTTCTGCTTCTGTAATGTAAGAGGGCTGGAATAGAATCAAAGAACCAGAATCACTCTTTGAGAGTGGATAAGCAGCTACAGTGGAGAAAACTAGCTTTACAGAGAAGTTTGGAGTATGAGGGCCAACAGAACGTTAATGTGTTTTAGCATGTGAGGACACAACTTCACACTACAACACAGAAGAACTGTTGTTAACAGACAACAGGCTAATTGAACTTGCAAACTTTAGTTTTACTGTAGTCAAATACTCCAGTTCAGTGAGGTGCTGGGAATCTGTGCTAAGACTTCTTCACTTTCCCTTAGGGAAAGCCAGCTTTAGTCTACACGCTAGAACATGCCCAAACTTTCACTCAAATGGAGTAGCAGGGGCAGCTGCCACCTCTGGCAATTACTCTCTCTCACATGCTTCCCTCTGGACACGTATGTGGAAGATACACACATACTGGATATGTGTACACGGAACGGTACGACAACTCTGCCCGTGCTCTGAGCAAAATTAAAACCATGTGGTCATGTGGCTGTGGCAAGAAGTGCACACTAATGAGTCCAGAAGAACTCTCAGCCTTCACTACTAACTCAGCCCTGGGCTAACGGCAGCTGTGCAGCTTCCGGCTGGTTGAAAACAGGGCAGAGTGCTCTGCCTGGCTGCAAAATGCCACAGACATTCCCTGTGTTACTGACCCAATGCATTTCACTACATTAGTTTACCTCAAATCAAGAGAATTTGGAGAGCCTGTGAGAAGCTCAAGCAACATGAACGTTAATTGGTCACTGGAGCAAGAAGCCCTGTTGGTTGCACTGGTGTCTCATAGGCCTGTTTTCTTCTTTTTTAAAGTCATGCAGTGTACATACCCTAGGAGCAGACACCACTGTTGTTCTAAAAGGAACATCTCTCCTGCATTACCCAGCAGCGCTAGAGCTGCGGGGCTGGCTGAAGGCTTAGGCATGGAAAGATAAAAGCTGTCAAAGGAGATGATACAATGGACACATGCAGACATGGTGTTGAGGGTATTTTGCTCAGTTCACTGTGCAGCTGATCAGAAAGACTATGCAAAGAATTATTAGTACTTAATTTACAGACATCTTTTATGAAATAACCAAGAAAGCACAGCCAGGCTCACAGTTATTTACAGCCTGGTAGGGGAACACGATCCTGGAAACCCATGTAAAAGAAGGCAGTCCACAGCATGGATTTCAGTAGCCTGGGTTTGCACTCCCTACAGCAGGGAGTGTTCATGGGTGCATTTGGAACAGTGGTAGCCAACCATACCAACAACTCCATACCTTACTTTGCACACTCCAACAGCTAAATAGTAAGTGTTGGGTGGGTAGGACAGGCCCATGGCACAATTATTACTCTGCTGACACAGCCCTGACAGGATCCTCATAGCAGCAAAGCATCTGAGATGCCTGGGTCTTTCCCTTTGTGACAAAAGGAGGAAATCAACTACTAAGATATTTTTGCAATACTTCATATGTTAATACCTTTTCAGACTTGTAGAACAGGCCAATCTTACTACATCTACACATTATTCTTTATTCAGTAGTGATCAGACAGAGCCTTTGTCAACACACTGTGACTTCCACAGAATTTATCTGAATGTGCTGGCATAGAAAAAAGAAAATCTGGTTCTGAATCAATCATTCATTTTCAACAGATGTAGTTGAGAAATACCTTGAAGCTATGTGGTTTATCTACCATGGAAATCTCAATTTCACACACACAAACACAAGCTACAGTGAACTCAGCTCTTTAAGACACGAGTTTTGAGGCAATGAAATTAAGAAGACTACATGACAAAAGGCGGAATTTCTAGAAAAACTGATTTTGTACCAAAAAAAGGGGGTTTGTTTTGTTTGGTTGATTCTTTTTAATTGAACAGGAGTGAGAAACAAGCAAAAACTGCTGTAGAGGTCTGTGAGTGGAGTTGCAGACTTATATCAAGGAAAAGATAACTGCTAGTAAAGATCAAAGTACATAAACCCTGCAGTAACTACAGTATTTTATAGAAAAGACAAAAATTTCCCTTCTGAACTGCTGATATTGGTGTGCAAGTTCCCATACACTATTGCCAACTCTTCAAGGCATTCAATTCATCCAAACATAGTAGCGTAAAAGTGTATCTCATGACAAGGTTTCCATTGTCTGGGACTAGACTTCTACTTTATGCATCGATTAACAGTTACCTATTTAATTAACAAGGCTCCAAACCTATGATACATAATGTATTCAAGGCTTCTTGCAAACTCACTATTTTAGCAGTGCACAGAAACCCCAAATCTTTTAGAATTACTCGTCTTTCTACATAAAAGGCTTCTCACCATTTTCTGACACAGCTGTAGCCTCAGCTCCCTGGAAAGTGTTACATCTTAGTATCATTGTCTTGCACATCAAGTTCTGACCTCAAGAAACTATCAGTTTCCTGGTATATCCTGATATATATTTTCCTGGGAAATATTCTTGAGTATGTACATTCCATAGTACAGAATTTATACTCTCCTGGGTAGGTCTATTTTTTGCCAAAAAATATGTAGAAGATAGTGTACATTCCTCTGCAATATTAGAATAACATTTATTAGCTTTTAAAATAATTTTAACAGCTTTAATATACTACCATGAAGATCTAAGAGGAGAGAAATTAATGTGTTTGGCAGCAAACTGGAGTCAAAGATGTAAGTTACAGCAACATCACAGCCTATTTATACTGAAAGCACTGACTGAGTATGAGTATCCACACTGCAATGTCATATGCTAACCTGTGTCTTGCATAATCTTAAAGAGCGTTAACGAAGAATTCTGTCTTTGAGCACCAGAATTGAACTTGTCAATTCTGTCACACGCACTAAGTCATATGCACCTCCACTATCCATATCCCACGAAACTGTCTTTCACATTAAAAAGTGAGCCTCTAGTAATATTCTTCTAACTGTTAATTTTCCTTCAGAAAATATCTGAACTTGCTTTGCCACCGATGACCTGATCTAATGTTAGATTCTAGCATTCACAGTTCATGGAAGATGTTAACATACTGGAGAGACTTCAAAGAAGCCACAAGAAATATCAGATATTTGGAAAAGAAGCCTTCTAACCAAAGACTCAATGAACTCAATCTATTTGGTTTAAGAGAAGTGAGAAACTATGTGCTCTATGTTTTTTTCAATGAGGAACAAAAGTATGTTAAACAGGAGGCTCTTCAATTTCTAAGCAAAGGATTAGAAGCAATCACTATCTAAACTAAGTAAATCTAGACAAACTCACAGTGAAAAGCAACCTGCTAAGGAGCGTAATTATCCATGGGGCACTAATGAAATATCTTTTACCTGCAATGCTGGAAGGAAGACCAAATGTTTTTTCCTTTATGAAAGATATGGTCTCATTGAAGTAGAAATTATTTCAGGGAGGTCCAATGGCATGTGTTATACAGGTCAGGATGCATGATCCCAAAAAACCTTCCTGCCTTAGAAAGAATCACAATGGATCTTCAGAGCTAAGTAGAAACACAAGTTACAAATATCTCTTTTGGTATTTAAATCCAAATGGTCAGTTTACAGCTTGCAGTCAGCTGCTAGCTATTAATGTGTAATTAAATCAATTACACGTTAAAAATATCTTATTATCTATTCTTTGTAGATCCTACATAGGGCAAAAGACTGACATGAATAAAAGTTTTTCTAAAGTTTGAGCAAGTTATTGAAGGTCAAATTATTATAAAACCTTCCAATCTGCAAGTTATCTTTTCACCGTGGGTTATGCAATATTGCCAGAGAGCTTATATGGTAAAGAAAAATTTATAAAGATTTGAATTTCTACCTACTGAAAAGTACAGAAACTTTCCTCCGTGAACATGAAGTCACTTCTTTCAGCAGCTCTCTTTAGAAGGCTGGAATAGATGCATTACTGTGCATAT